AAAAAAAAAAAAAATAGAGTACCTAAGACCTTATTAACTGATCTGTTATAAGTATCCAGAAGAAGAGCTGGGTTTTGTTGCTTTCTTTACCTAGCTGCCCATTCAGAGTAGAACCTGTGATCTGAACAAGTGTTATTTGTCTTGTTTTTTTTTTTTTTTTTGGTTGGTCGTGGGTCCTGAACTCTGGGCCTGGGCACTGTCCCTCAGCTCTTCAGCTCAAGGCTAGCCCTCTACCTCTTGAGCCACAGCACCACGTCTGGCTTTTTTCTTTTTGCTTATGTGGTGCTGAAGAATCAAACCCAGGGCCTCGAGCATGCAAGGCAAGGGCTCTACCACTGAGCCACCTTCCCAGCCCCCAAGTGTTATTTGTCCAGGTAAGAATTATACAGATAGATTGATGCTAGGTTACTTACAGAAATTCTTCTTTCTTGGTATGGCTGTCCCTGTTGCTAATGCTTTATTTTTATTTCCAGTAAGTTGCTTGGAGGTGGAATTGAAAGCATGGCAATAACAGAAGCCTTTGGCGGTAAGTAGAACCTTAATTTTTTCCTAGGAAGTTATACAATTATAATTAAATAAGAAATAGTAAACAAACAAGTTCCTGTTTTGGAACACAGGATAAAAACTGTTATTAGAATATAGGATTATTCTGAACATAAATGAGAATGTATATTAACCAGTAGTTCTTATTATACTTTTCATCCTCTTATCTCTGATTAGTACAGAAGGGAATAAAAATAATACTTTATTCCTTCAGAAGGTAATAAAATAATGAGGTTGTTCATATATCTAGGCAATGCATACTCCATTAGCATAGAGATTAGATTTTCTCTTTCCTGGTTATATCATATATATATATATATTTTAATTTCTGCATAGTTGGAGTAGATGTTGCCTTTGATAATTCAGTATTTGCTTACTTTGGTTTTGTTTTGTTTTGTTTTTCTGGCCCTGGGGCTTGAACTCTGGATCTGTGCACTGTCCCTGAGCCTCTTTGTGCTCAAGGCTGGCCTTGAATCACTTGAGTCACAGCACCACTTCTGGCTTTTTCTGAGTAGTTTATTGGAGATAAGAGTCTCACAGACTTTTCTGCCTGGGCTGGCTTTGAACCACAATCTTCAGATCTCAGTTTCCTGAGTGGCTAGGATTATAGGTGTGACCCACCAGTGCCCACTTAGTATTTGCAGTTTTTAGGAAACTAATTTTTCTATTGATTCTGTTGACTTGGGGAAATGAATCTTTTTATCATTTCTGTTGACTTACTCTAATAGCTTTTTTTCTTGCATATTTACGCTTTGGAGGTTTCTAATCTATAGGGGTTTAATGGACCTAACTTTATGGATGAGGGCAGTTTTACTATGAAGAAAATTTGCTTCTGTTGATAACCAATTTGAGATTATCTCCCCTTAAGAATTCTAGGTAAAAAAAAGAATTCTAGGTCAGCAGGGCGCCAGTGGCTCACACCTGTAATCCTAGCTACTTAGGAGGCTGAGATCTGAGGATCATGGTTCAAAGCAAGCCTGGGCAGGAAAGTCCAAAAGACTCTTAACTCCAATTAGTCACAAGAAAACCAGAAGTGGCACTGTTGTGGCTCAAGTGGTAGAGAGCTTGCCTTGAGCTGAAGAGCTCAGGGACAACACCCAGGACCAGAGTTCAAGCCCAACAACCACCACCAACAACAACAAAAGAGTTCCAGGTCACCGCTGGGAATCTGGCTTAGTGTAGAGTGCTTACCTAGCATGCATGCCTCAGTACCACATACACAGAAAAAGCCAAAAGTGGCAGAGTGGCTCAAGAGGTAGAGTGCTAGCCTTGAGCAAAAGAACCTCAGGGACAGTGCCCAGGCCCAGAGTTCAAGCCCCTGGATTATCAAAATTTAAAAAAAAAAGAATTACAAGTTAGCCAGACACTGGTGGGTCACACCTGTAATCCTAGCTACTCAGGAGGCTGAGAACTGAGGATTGTGATTCAAAGCCAGCCTGGGCAGAAAAGTCTTATGAGACTCTTATTTCCAACTAAACACAAAAACTTTAAGCTACAGCTTAAAGTGGTAGAACAGTAGCGCTGAGCAGAACAACTCAGGGACAGCTCCCAGGCCATGAGTTCAAGCCCCACAACTGAAAAAAAAAAAAAAAAAGAATTCCAGGTCACTGAGAGAGCTCCAGGCTGTTCTTCCTGTGATAAATATCCTAAACTTTAATTTATGTGAGCTTTTCTATGGAAAAAATGTTTTAACCTTCATTTAAAAAGACAGTTTTGTCAAAAAGAATCAAG